TGAAATCATTCCTGCCAAAGCCTGACACTCAGCCTCACCATGGCTAGGAAATAAGTTTCTTTTCTTTTAAACTTTTCCAGGAGAACAAAAAGAGTGAAGAGGACAGCAGCTGCTGCCACTTGAGGGAGGAGCAAGCAACACAAAAGCCTTTTCACCAGCACATTTCTCATTCCTTAGGGGCCTCCCACTAGTAGCTACTTAAGTTCCTGCCACCAGGAATTCCAGACCAGCTCCAGCAGAGGTGACTGTCCCCCACACATGGTAGGCCACCACTGCCAACAGCTGCCCAGCCTTCAGCATCTTCTCCATTCTACTTCTATATAGACTGAGCAAGCTAAAATAGAATATCCTATTTTAACTGAAGTAAGAACATATTTTTTAAACTTGAATGAATAATAACTAAGATAATTAAAATACTCAGTTCCCTCAAACCAGACAGAAATTCCAGAAGTATTCTTTCTCTTACTGAAGCCAACAGTTAGGTGAGTCTGGGCTGGATTATCCTTTCCACTACACAGTTTCGTCCAACTAGGAAAGGCAGGAGCTGACCTTGGAGAGGCTAAGACCTGAATGGGGCACCAACACTTCCCATAAGGAGAATGAGCCATCTTCTCGTAGAAAAATGCAGTACTCATTTTTCCTCCCTTTTTTTTAATGAATGGTGACCCAGTTGTAAATGCTGTACTCCCACATTAATCCATTCCTCCCAGTCTTTTCATTAAAATGTAAATTTCAATCCTGAAACAACAGCTGGGATTCTAAGAGTAACATAGCACTAAGTTTAAACATTTGTTCTTACCTTGATGAAAAAACAGGGTCTCCCCCAAAAAGTAGAGTCCACAAAAAGGGGAAACTCTCTTAGATGCATTATATACTAACAGCCAAAACCAGAACCACACTACTCCAGAGTGAAGGTGAAACACACCTATGGGCACCGACCCCAACAAAAATCTGCCTCAATGCAAGTTTCCATTAACAAAAAAATCTTTTGGCTAAGCATTTTTCTAAACATTACTCTACTTTTAAAAATTAACTTAATGCTGCAAGATCTTACTGGTGTTCAAGTAATAATTAACTTAATGAGTACCAATTAGCCAAGAATACTAAACTGAGTTTATTCCACGAATACACAGAAGAGATTCTTAAGATTCTGCCTAATAAGTTACTGAAATTTACAACAGGGGAACCAAAAACACATCTAGAGAATGGGGTGAATGCTGAGAAGTATGTCAGGCAAAAATCAAAACTTACTTGTGAAAATATTCATGCTTCAAAGATATTTACTCCACTAAACATTTTTGTTAAATCTACTTTGTAATCATTACTAGTGTCGACTTTAAGGAAAGAAATTTAAGGGATAGAATCTTAATTAGAGCTGTGGTCACTTTGAATGGCTCTCTAACAAGACTGACTTTCCAAATAATTTTTCACCTAACGTTCTACCCTTGCAAACCTCGAATGGAGGAGCAATCATGTGAGCAGGGATTCGTCAGAAGAGTTCACTAATACCCAGTGGCTTCTCCAGGAAAAGCATATGATACCACAAGCAATTAGCAGATGAGTCAATGACTGCCACCCCCACATTGCAATTACACACTCTCTGCAGCACCATCTGCAAAATATGTACAAAGTATACAACAGCTAACAGGACTATATATTTGGTGATGGAAAACTACTTTTCAGAGGATGTTTCAAATGTAAGCAGATTTAAAGACAAGAAAACGAAGGATCTTAAAAAACCAGAACTGAATCAAGACCGCTGGGTATGTTCCTATTCTATGAAAAGCGTATAAATTATACACATTATTTGACAATGTTGAAACAGGTCTAATAAAACACCACAAAAATTTGGTTATATTACTCAATTGAGAACAGTTTAAAGATAAGTCAAAGGCAAGAAACCAACAGTTAAGTAAACATGTTCTAGGACCGCAGAGCCAGAACAGCCCTACACAGAAGGCACTGCTGTTAGACAAAGTAAGGGCTTCGGGGAGCTGGGCAGTGAGCAGGGAGTGAAGTTCCCCAAAGAGGCAGCCTGGCAGCCTGGAAGCCCTGAGCCAGGCCCACTCCAACTCCCACTGGGTTGTGCTGCCGTCTCCTGTGCGTTCCCTGGTGTCCTGAACTGCCAAGCTTTTCTTCATCTAACGGACCTCTTGCCACACTTCCATCACACCCAGAAACTAGTTAGACAAACTCCAATCTAATAACTAGAGTACTAATTTTAGCATTTCTACTACATAAAATAAACTGGTATTTCCTAAAGGAATTTTACACTAATGACACACCATTGTCCTGCCAGGAATCTCTAAAATAATTTGGTCTGATAATTCTCCCAAAGATATGTCCTATAATACATACCAGATCAAATGTATAAATGTTATTAGAATACTTTTATTTGATTTCAAAAAGCATATTAACATAAATCTAGTATATACTACTTTATTTTCCTCTGTAAAGCAAGGACCACAGAATTAAAAGACCTAGAAATCTCTAGCTTCTCTCTGACCTTTAAATAGTACTTACACAATACCTAGGCTTCTTATACACTTTACCAGCTCCACCGCCCATAATCCCAACATGTCCCGCACCTTCTAACTAAATTGCCATTGGAAAAGTCTGGCACTGCCCTTTAGCTCAAACACTACCATAGATCTATTTCAGGCCACAGGACACAGCCTTGTTTGGTTGGTTGTTTCCTTTTTTCTCCCGCTGTTAATAAAAATATCCCAGTTCCTTAAATTTACAGGTGAAAAATACTAGTTTCTAAATGATTCTTTAAAAAGCCATAATAAAAATACTCTTCACTTAAGGAAAAAACCCAAAGGCAGTGTTCATATAATTTAAGTCATGAAAGGAATATAAGATTTGGTTCTATTTTTTGTCTCAACTTTAACCTGTAACAGTTCTTTACAGACTTTTGAAAGCTCTTTTAGAAAAGAAAAAAAATAGGAATGATTGTTCTTAGAAAATTTTACAAAACACATCACAGTTTTGGCTTCAGTTATTACCTTTTGCATATTTTTGTATATTGAGACTGTACCTGAAAATTCTAATTTATATTGAACAGTTGATATACTTTGGTAGAATTATCACCATTTTAGATATATTTATTTTAGATATATTTTAGGTACCACTAGAAAGATTTTCTACTCTATGTAAATAGTTATCAATTGCTGTTGATTTGCTATTTCCTCTTGAATTACGGGTATTTTAGAAGAGTGATATGTAATCTGTATATTTAATGTATCTAACACATGCTAATAGTATGTAATCAACTAGAAAAAGAATCCTTCAGGCTCCAGCCACAGACACCTGAGCTGGTGGGTTCAAATCTAGCCCAGGCCTGCCAAACAACAATGATGGCTGCAACCAAAAAAGTAGCTGGGCATTGTGGAAGGCACCTGTAGTCCTAGTTACTTAGGAGGCTGAGGCAAGAGAATGGCTTAAGCCTAGGAGTTGGAGGTTGCTATGACTTGTGATGCTGTTGGAGGTTGCTATGACCTGTGATGCCACAGCACTCTACCCAGGGCAACAGCTTGAGGCTCTTCCTCAAAAAACAAAAAAAGAAAGAAAAAGAATCCTTCAAATTGATAAAGGCATGGTAAAAATATTACTCCAAAATAACTTATTTCTAAGACAATAGTTGTATTTTTCACATGCTATGCACCTACTAAATGTGGGCATAGGCAGTGGAGCAACTGTTGACTCAAAAAATTTTATTGTTGTTTTGGTGCTATAAAGTTTCTGTGTAATAAAAAAGGTCCCTTTTAAAATGGTCAGATTTAGAAAGTAAGCATCAATGAGATTAATAAACAGATCACTGATTAGTGATGTGATCACTCAGTTTCCTTCTCTTTCCACTACCCTTCTCATAGGGCAGGACATTCAAAGCCAAAATATTCAGTATTTTAGTAATTTAATCTTTTAACATTTGTCGAACAGCTTCTATTTGCCAGGCACTTTTTGCTAGGTGCTAAAGACAGACAATGTATGAGCTAAATAAAGCCTGCCCTTGAAGGCTCACACTCCATCAAGGAGACTGACATCTCACTATAGTATCTAAAAGGAGTGTAAGATGTTCCCAAAACATAAAACAGTACACACTCATGAACTAGCTGTCCTGGGGGTACCGGTTTTAGAACCCTTTTCTAGGTGAAAGACTATTATAACAAAGCACATTTCAAAAAAAAAATTAACAAATTTAAGACAGGCTAGGAACTTTCCTCCTTTACCCTCACATAAATCTTCAGGTAATTTTGAATGCCACATATTATATCATAGATGGAAAAAAGTTGGAAGAAGCTATTCACTTGCCCAAGATTACAAATTAGCAAATGAAGGAGGCAGGATTGCATGTCAGGTCTTTTCAGTTCAGTATTTCCCTATCCCGTTATCTGCCTCACAAATAAAACCTAGGGGAGGTACTGAGTAAAGTAGATTATATGTGTTCTGTGATCACAAGATGTTCTATGTGTGCAGTGCATAATTCTGTAGGTATGCAATAACCACTGAACGCTAATGCCAGACGGTAGTGGTTCTAAGTATGAGTCTGCAAATAAACCATGTCAGAAAGGCTTCTCAAAGTTAGAACAAAACAATAACAAAGACTCTGATAGACAATATAGAGGACAAACTTAATCTTCAAGTAGTGCACAGGTTGTACTTTCCGATCCAGAGTGTGTATAATTTTAGTAACACCAGTCACGCTGTCAACTTAAAGACATCAGTTTCACTGGTAACAATTTCAATTTTTCCTTATTCTGTTACCTATTTTATTTTCACTCTATTGCCACCAATTCCATTGGTTCCATCTTCATAGCTTACTGTATATAAATACATCTACCTATATCAATTGGACAAAAAATGCACATCTATACATGTACTTCTTCACATACACACTTCTATAATGAGCCCTAATAAAGATCAACTAGGAACTATGAAGGGACTATCACAGACCAGACATGAAGAAAATGGGAGGTATTAAATAAAAACATATTTACCTGTTTCTTCATCTATCTTGAAAACACCAATACCAGAACCATCTCTAATGGAGTATCGGATCTCCCCATCTCTTCCTGTGTCCTCATCATGAGCTGACACTGTCATGACTGATGAACCAAGAGGAACATCTTCTTTCACTATACCCTTTTCCACAAAGCTGGGAAACACTGGTGGGTATAAGTTCTCATTCACATCAATTACCTCAACTTCAATGTAGCAAGTGGAAGACAGAGAAGTCGGCTTCCCTTTGTCTTTGACCCTCACGGTGAGATTATATACTTGCTTCTTCTCAAAGTCCAACTGCTGTACAATTCTAACTGCCCCACTGAGCTTATCAACATCAAAGCCTCCTTCTCCATGGTCCATAAGACTGTATCTCACCTGACTGGATTGACCCAAATCAGGATCATGGGCTTCTAACCACATGATTATGGTTCCTTCTGGAAGATCCTCTCGAACTTTTACACGGTAACTAGGTGGAATAAACACAGGTGGGTTGTCATTAACATCTTCTAGTGACACTTTCAAAAGTACAGTAGAAAACAACTGGGGCTCTTCTCTGGCTTGGTCCCTAGCTTCAATCTTTAAGTAGTGCACCGGCTGTACTTCACGATCCAGAGTGTGTATAATTTTAACAACACCAGTCACGCTGTCAATTGAAAACTTGTCTGTGTCTGTAAGGATCGAGTATGTCACATGTCCGTTGGGCCCTAGATCTTTATCTGTGGCTTCAACCTGGATTATTTCACTATTTACCTCCTTGTCTTCACTCACTTCAACAAAATAGCTCTCCTGTAAAAACTCAGGTGGGTTATCATTGGCATCCAGGACAATAAGATCTAAAAGATGCCAAGTGGCCTTCTGGGGTATTCCAAGGTCATACACAGTAATATTCAAGCTGTATCTGTCTTTTGTCTCACGGTCAAGTGGAGAGAAAACTTTTAGCATCCCTGTTTCCATGTCAATAATGAAGCTACTATCCTCATTTCCTCCAGAAATAGCATAGACCAGTTTTCCATTAAAGCCAGTGTCAAGGTCAGTAGCATTCATGAAAATTACACTGGAACCCATGGGGTGATTTTCCTTTACCTCAATACTAGTAGGAAGGGTAGTTCTAAACTGTGGTGCATGAGCATTGATAGAGTGAGAATCAAAGAAGATATCCTCAATTTCTCCTTGATTGTGTAACTTATTTGCCTGCAGGAGCTTCTCTGCCAGCATTTTGGCAACACCAGTCTCCTCACATTGCAGATTTACTGGCTTACGACTGGCAGCCACAGTTATGTTGATATATAATGGTGTGGCAAAATTTTCTCCATCTGTAGCTGTAATTCTCAGACTGTGGAAAGATACCTTTGAGCCTAAGCCATCCATTAGTGACTGCTTCAATGTCAACACCCCAGAGGTAGGGTTTAAGCTAAACAAATTTAGTTCATTGCCAGCTTCAATCTGATATCGTACCAACTGAAGTTCATCAGCATCAATAGCAGAAACAGTAGTTATTTGCTCTCCCACACCTAGATCCCTAGGAATTGTTCCTTCACAGTTTATCTTCTCAAACAAGGGTGTGTTGTCATTCAAGTTATTGAGAGTAATTGTAGCAAGGACTTCAACTTCCCGGCGATATGGCAAGCCCCAGTCAGATGCACGAATCCTTAGACTATACACTCGAGGCATCAATTCATAGTCCAAGTTTTCTGAAATACTCACAGCACCAGTGAAATGGTCAATCACAAATGGCACATGATTTAAATTAGCAATACTGTATGTTACATACCCATTCTCACCCTCATCAGGGTCTTCGGCACTCACACTCATGATAGTAGTACCAATGGGCACATTCTCATCAAAAGAAGCTTTGTATGCTGTCTGGGAAAACTCAGGGGGGTTACTATTTGCACCTAAGATTTTAACTAAGACCTTGGTGGACGCTTTTCTGTCACTCGTTGTTACTTCAAGCTCAAAATGGGATGTCTGCTGTTTCTTAATTGGTTCTAAAATGGAAATGAGACCAGTGTTGTAATTTAAACTGAATTTAGCTTTTCCAGGTGTTTTAAAAACATACCTTAAATGGGAATAATTAGGAATGGCTTTTACCATGACCACAGGTGTGCTGGGAGGAGCAAATTCACTTATTTCAGCTCTGTAAACATCCTTTTCAAACTTGACTGGCCCAGCTTTGAACTGTGGTGAGGTCACATGAATTACTTTTACTGAAGAGAACTGGGGAGGAGTTCCTTTATCTTTAGCCTGTAATGTCAGATTGTAGCCAAAAGGATGACTGTCCCAATCAATGTCACCAATGGCTTTGACTTTATATTCTTTACTCCCTGGAAAGGATCTCACTGTTCTAAACTGTTGAAGAAGATCCCCTGCCACAATGCTTAAAGAAGCTATTTCCCCATTGGCACCCCGATCACAGTCATCCACTGTCACGATTGCGTATGTTGGGTCCTTGTCCAGTTCTGATGGCGATAATGTCACCGCTGTTATCACAGGAGCACATTCGTTGGCCTGTTCCACATGAACTGTTAGCTTGGCCATGCTGCTGATACCACTGCTACCATACAATTTCATTCCACGGTCCACAGCGAGGACTTCCATCTCATAAAGCTGGGTTTCTATGTAATCAAGTTTACCAGTTAAAACTACCACACCACTGGTTGGATGAACAGCAAACATATCTGTTCGGTCTTTAAAACTGTAGTAAAATTCTCCATTGGTTCCTATGTCCGCGTCTGTGGCGCTGACTCTTGCAATACTGGTCCTTATGGCTGTGTTTTCAGGTAAAGAAATGCTATATGAGGTGGGGGAGAATAATGGTCTCAAGTCATTTGTATCCAGCACTTGCACCCTGACCTTTGTTCGGGCTTCAGAATTAGTATTTTTTTCAACTGCTTTGACTACCAATGTGTAATGGTCTTTTACTTCTCTATTAAGAATAGCTGTATTTCCTCCTTTGGTCCTTATTCTTAGAAAGCAAAAGTCTCCAAGAATATATTCTTCAGCTTTAAACAGGTTTTCATTGTCTCCTGAGACAATTTTGTACTTTAATTCCCACACTGGATCTGTGATGTAGATACCCATCTTTATAGGATGCCCAACGTAAGTTTTGGCAGCAGAGTTTTCACGCACAGTGACATTGTACTGGGAGTGTGTAAACTGCAGAGGAGGAGTCTGTTCAAGTCTTTGGCTTCCACTGCCATCTCCAAACTGCTGAAGGAGGAGGAGCAGAAGTAGAAGCAAGGCCAAATGTCTCCCCATCGTTTTACTTTCGGGAACCTGTCACAAAGGAAAGAAATAAGAAACATTACTTTGGGGAAGTAAAACAACCAAAAAAGGTATAAATTATTTACAACCCTACATTTTAATAGAGTATTTTTTGTCTATATGTAGTATGAATAAATGCAATGGTTTTGGATTTTTTTTTCCCTGAAAAAGAATTTTAATTTAAGTATCCACACTCTTCTAATGTGTTCAGTATTACTAAATTTAACAAAAATTTTTAATATTTGAATGACCCAAATCATAGTAAGCATCAAATGAAATATTACTAACTGTAACAACTAAATTGTATTCTTATACTTCAATCTTCAAAGCAAATATAAGCAATTGCTGAAAAGGTAATGAATATTATTTATGTTTACTTACAATGGATGACATGCTCTAAAGCTTGCAAACTTAATGGTACAAGAGTATTGTGAGCATACTCCTTTTGTAACAAAAAAAATGGTAGTTTTGTATGACCTCTCATATTGATAACTTATCCTATTTCAAAATTTATCCTGAAACTTTCTTTATAAGAATGATTAGGTTCACTCTCTACATAAGGATTTATTGTCTTGGTTCTATTAAACTATTTAAATGTATTAAAGTAAATGTATCTTAAGTCTGATACTCAATACCAACGTAAGCCAAAAACCCAACATAAACCAAAGAGGGAAAAAAAAAAACCCAGATAAGCAGCTACCAAACCCCTCCCCCCAATAATTCAGCAGCTTGATGATATCTCAGTTTTTCCTAAGTCAGTGAAGCAGATTTCTCCAGCTACATCAGTGTTTTATCACCATGCTGTCAACAACCAGTTGTTCAGAGTGTCTACTATCTTAAGAGCACTCAACAATGGAGTTACCTGGGGGCCCTCCATTAGAAAACGAGATGCATATACACACACACACACACACACAAAAGCTAAACAGACACACAAGGTCAAGGCAATGGAGCAAGGGGACAGGGCTTGCAGGAGAGTCAGAGGGTAACTCAGGAAAGAAAGAGGGAAATTAAAGAAATGAAGAAAGGGATGCTTTAATAAATGAGAAGGTGGGGTGAGGTCTGGCTAGAACAGCAGGACAGTTATTGCAGATCAACTATTCCCTTAGGTCAACATTCATCTTATAAATCAATGGACCTTCACTCCTCTCTCCCAGCTCTGTCAGTAGAGACAATACTGTAATCTTGCAAAGTAACTCTCAAATTAATATTTGTAAAATGTGAATGCTACCAAAGGTAAAAGATAAGCAGACTAGAGCTGCTGTCTAAACAGCCCACTTGAAATTAGTGTGGCAACGTCAATTTACAGTATCTTAACTCAGCTACTACTAACTTTGCCCCATTAGTCATTTCCTTAGGGAGGAAAAAAACAAAAAACAAAAAAATCTAATATGCTTAAAGCAATTAGAAACTTAATTGATACTCAATCACATTCAAGTTGACCACCCTAACTTGTTCTTTAGCTATCATGCCTTTAACTCCACAAACGAAAGTCAGGAAATCAAACAGATTTTTGGCTTTTAGTAGAGGCCAAATATCACTTAAACAAAATAAGGAAACAATTTTCTCCCAAAACTATCTCTTTAAATATCTCAATTTGGGTCAGGCATGGTGGCTTATGCCTGTAATCCTGGCACACTGGAAGGCCAAATGGGAAGATTACTTGAGGGCAGGAGTTAAGAGATCAGCCTGAGCAAGAGTAAGACCTTGTCTCTACAAAAAAAAAGAAAAATTAGTCAGGCATAGTAGCCTATGCTTGTCGTCCCAGTTACTTAGAGGCTGCGACAGGAGTATTACTTGAAGCCAGAGTTTAAGATTACACTGCTACGTAATGATGCACTGTAGCCAGGGTGACAGTGTGAGACTCTACATTTAAAAAAAAAAAAAAAAATCTCCATTTGGTCAACAGTTCTAACACTTAGGGAAATCTGAATAGGATGAAATGATCTAGTAATTTTAACAACAACAAAAAGGAAAGTTCAACTCAATTCAACTCAATAGGTACTGAGGACCTGTTATCAGACAGCACCTTGTGTGGAGTTAACACATTAATTGCCATGGCAGTTGTATTTAACTTACTCTAGTTTTGAGCCCGGGGCCTTGTGAAGCCTATATAACTCACAGCCCTCTTGACCTAATGGCCCCAAGAAAAAAGTTTTTCTCCTACTGTGGAGTGAATGTATTAAAAATGATAAAAGACAAAGATCTCAATCCCAGGGCACATACAAACAGGGAATAAAAAAATGCATACGAAGAAAATGCTTTGAAAAAATTAAAAAGATGATGTTCAACAAACACCGTCTTCTGTTTTAGGAGATATATTATGCTTTAGGAGACATTACTACTATAGTGTTATCCACTTTATTACAATAAAGTATTATACCAGGATTCTATTACAAGTACTTAAAGTGTTTTGCTTAATTCTAAATATAAGATATTATGTGGCCATTAAAGAGAATAAGGTAGCACTCTACATGTTAACGTATACAGACATCCAGATATCTGGATTAACAAAGCTGATCCCATTTATGTTTGTTTTTAAAAGGACAGAAGGAGCTGGGTGCGTTGGCTCACACCTGTAATCTCAACACTGTGGGAGGCTGAGGTGGGAGGATGGCTCAAGGTCAGGAGTTCCAAGGCTTGTCTGAAGGAGAGTGAGACCTTGACTCATGAAAAAAAATGGAAAAACCCAGCCAGGCGCCTGTAATCCCAGCAACTTCGGAGGTTGAGGCAGCAGGATGCCCACAGCCTAAGTCTGAAGTTGCAGTGAGCTATGATGCCACTGTACTCTGTTCAGGGAATAGGGTAGAACTCTGTCTTGCCAAAAAAAAAACAAGGCAACTGTGTGCATATGCTCATCCAAATCCCTTTAAAAAATAAAAAACAAAAAAAAAATAAAAAAATAAATGACATAAGGAATAGATGTATCATCCCGTTCACTATTTAATTCTTTTGACAAATATTTAATGAGCATCTACTATATACCAGGTACAGTTCTAAGTGCTAGGGATTCCAAAGTGAACCAAAGTACCAACAAGTCCTAATGGAAGATACATTTCCTGGTGAGAGACAAACAAGTACACAGAGTACACCAGATGCTGATGATCAGGAGTAAAAAACAAAAGAAGAGAGACTGTGGACAGGAATGCAAAGGAGATGAGAGAAGCCTCAATTCAAAACAGCCAAGGTTTCTCACTTCAGCACTACTGACATTTTGGGCAGATAACTCTCAGATTCTTTGGGGCACTGTAGGATGTTCAGCATTCCCTGGTCTGCACCCATGAAAAGCCTGTAGCATTCCTCCTCCCCCAACTGTGAAAACTAACAATGTCTCAAGATATTGCCAACTGTGCTTCAGAGCTCAGTGTCACCCCCAGTAGAGAAAAACCAGGTTAGAGTAACAATGAAGAGGTCCTGTGGCTGAAGCACAGTAGGTAACTGAGAACACTTCATGAAGGGAGTTCCTTTGTTAAAAAATAATTTTTTTAAAAAATTTAAATGTTAGATTTACATAAACCTGCAAAGACAGTTTCCCCTACTGTTAACATCTCAAATTATTGTTATAGATTTGTCACAACTATTTAACCAATACTGATGCATCATTAACTAAAGTTCATACTTTACTTAGATCCCTTTGGATTTTACCTAAAATCCTTTTCCTGTCCCAAGGATCCCATCTACAATGGCACATTACATTTAGTTGCCATGCTCCTCAGGGTCCTTCAGAATGTAAATCTCTAGGATTTTCCTTGTTTTTAATAATGACTTTGACAGTTTTGAGAAGTACTAGTTAGATATTTTATAGAGAGAGTATATTTCAGGCAAAAAATTCCTCAATTGGAATTTGATGGATTTCTCAGGATTAGGCATGGGCTATGTTCTGGGAAGGAAGACAGAGGCAAAGTGTCATTTTTGTCATTTCCATTACATAACGTATCAGGGTTGTTATGGACCTTGTTCCCAGGTCTGAAGTAGGGTCTGCCAGGTCTCTCCACAGCAATGTTGTGACTACATACAGCCCACACTTAAAAGGTATGGAATTATACTCCTCAAATTATTTAGAATAATTGTTGAATCCCTATTTATGTATTTATTCAATCAGTTTTTGAAAGATCAGTAAATGAAGGGTGATTTTAGGACTTTGGAGTTTACTACAAACTAAATGAGAATCCACTGGAGGATTCTGAACAGAGAAGAGATATGATCTAACTTAGAGTGATATCTGTGTTGAGAAATACAAGAGCAAAAGTTAGGAGACCTCACCAGTTGGAGGCTATTGCAATAACACAAGGAGAGCATGCTGGCTTGGCCCAAAAATGGGAATGGTGAAGGTGGGATAAGTGGTCAGATTTTGGATCTATTTCAGGATTTGCTAATACTCTGGAGCAGTAAGGGGAAGGGAAAGAGCAGTATCAAAGATAATTCTAGGGACTGTGTGCTGAGCAAGGGGAATGGGTGTCAAAGGACTGACAGGGGAGACTGAGGGAGGAACAGGTTTAGGGAGTCAGATCAGAGTTTGATTTTGTGTAAGATAAAACATCCAAGGAAAGATGTTGAGTGGGCAGTCAGATATGCGTGAAAGGTCCAGACGTTAGATTGAGAGCTGTCAGAATACGGAAGATGGTGTTAAAAACTACAAAACATAAAATGAGATCATCAAGGAAACAAATACAGAGAAGAAAGAAAATCATGAACACCATTGCTTCCCCAACCCCTGAAGGGCACAAGTAGAAGAACTGGCAAAGGAGACAGAGTAGCCACCAAGGTTGATAACGGAACCAAGAAAGTGGTACAGTAAAGAATGGTTAAGTAAATCTTTCTGTACACTTTTAAGTCCCACATTAGAACTTGGAAATGACCCATAAAGACTGGCTGTACTATGCTGCTCCAACACCACTGTTGAAAGGCCTGGTTGTAACTAGTGCCCCCACCATTACACAAAAGTTATAAAGAACATATCCAACACAACAAACTGCTATGGCTGTCCTCGCCCCATACCTCCCCAGCTAATC